TGGCCCTGAGCTGCTGGTCAGCGCTGGGAGGTCTGATGCTTCCGGTCCCATGCACCTCACGACTGGCAGCAGGCATGCCGACAAGGGTCCTCCTACCCAGTAGAAACGGGACTGCACAGGTGTGATGCCATGGGCGATGCAACACCATGTGCTGCTGATGTAAGGAACTACCCTGAACCCGATATTGGGTCCTGATGGGTAACTAGCTGGGGTTCAGGTCGATGCAGCGGGAGTTAGGGAAGCTCGGTAGGCAACCTGTGGGGAGGCGCACTCGTGGGCAGGTGGACCAGGCCACCGACACCCGCCCAGTCTGGTGCCTCTTGCTGAGAACATGTCCTTGCACGGCCTTGGCCAACATGATTCTGGCTGCCTTGGCCCCACCCTGGCCGTCTAAACATGGCTGGTTTGGTCTTTCCCGGGAAAAGCGGAGAGGGGCACAGGAAGGAGCGTTTTTATTTATTTATTTAATATATTTTATTGATTTGTTTTCACAGAGAGGAAGGGAGAGGGATAGAGAGTAAGAAACATTGATGCGAGAGAAACATCATCCTGCACACTCCCTCCTGGGTATGTGCCCGCAACCAAGGTACATGCCCCTGACAGGAATCGAACCTGGGACCCTTGAGTCCGCAGGCTGACGCTCGGTCCACTGAGCCAAACCGGTTAGGGCAGGAAGGAGCGTTTTTAAAGAAGAATGCAGCTAACAATGGAAGAGAAGCGGCAGAATGAGAAAATGAGCATTGGGCAACCACCGGCAGGCCTCGGGGCCGCCTGAACCACAGGGGAAATACTGGTGAAGAGGAAATCCACATTTCTTTCCCTTGTAAAATGTCCTGAACTTTTGGTGATTAATTTCCCTTAAAAATGACAAAGGCAACCTGGCCAATGTCGCTCAGTGGTTGGGCATCATCCCATTCACCAAGAGGTTGCTGGTCCAATTCCTGGTCAGGGCACATGCCCAGGTTTCAGGCTCCATCCCCAGTGCAGGAGGCAGCCTATCCATGTTTCTCTCTCATCAATGCTTCTATCTCCCTCTCCCTTCCTCTCTAAAAAACAAACGATTCCTAACAATACAAAATCAAGAATGACAAAGGTTAAAAAGGTGCCTTTACGGTGGAGCCTGGCAGCCTCACTGGACTAAGTGCTTGACCCTCAACCCTGAGCTCTCCCGAGCGTGCTTACTCCACAGCTCACCACACATGCAAGGCTCACCCACACCCAGGGCTCACAGCCAGCGGCCAGCACTGCTCAGAAACCTGTGTGAGGAACGCTAAGAACCAGGGAGCAGGTGGGGGGTTCTGTATTAGAGAGAATCAGCAAGGAAATGGCATGTTTGAAGCTTGGGGGTGTTCTATCCAGGGAAAAACAGCTGCAGAAAATTGACTTTGGAACAAGGAGCAGCGTGAACCTGGCCTGCCTGCCAACGGGGTGGTGAGTGCTGGTGTCCTCGGGGGGGATGATGGCACCGAGGGCATGGGAGAGTGTCCTGCCTCAGGAGACACAGGCCAATGGTTCAGGAGTTCGGTGTCACAATCTCTATTTTCTGGTGATTACAGCCAGAACGTGTGTGCAGCTGCACGTCTGCATATACAAAGAAAAAGCAAACGTGGCAACTGTGAGCAATTGGCGAAGAAATAAGAGTTAGAATTTGCCCTTTCTCTGGAAACAATTCAGACAAGTAGAATGAAAGGAATATTCCATTGAGTCTCCATAGAGGATAATTTTAAAGTGCCTTCAACCATTTTACTTGGGCCAGAATCTGTATTTCACTCCGCCTGGTGAGGGGCAGGAGGCCAGGAGGCAGCCCGGGTAGACGGGCATGGGAGGTGAGAGGGGCCAAGAGCCGGCCCCTGGAGCAAGAATAAGGCAGAGACCACGAGGGGTCGTCAGTCGTCAGACACCTCGCTCCCAGCTGGGGGAGTGGGAAAGCGTGGGCCCGATAACCTGCAGGAGACCAGCTCATACATCCTGGCTCGGACACGCTCAAGGTCAAACCGCTGGGCTCCAGGGGCCCCGGGACACAGGACACATTGTTTCCCAAAGCACAGGCCTCGGTGTTCCCGAAGGTACCTGAGGACATTCAAAGCGGGCCCCACATCCCCTTTCATCATCTTATCCTGCAAACACCATTTTTCATCATTACCCAGCTCTCAAGATAAATGTCACCTGTGAACACCCTCCCGCAGCCCATCCGTGCAGCACCCGATACAAAGCGTCAGGATGAGAACAGGCGAAGCTCCCGTTCCCAGGCCAGACTCACCTCCCCAAGACAACCCGCTGCACCCACCTACGTGACTCCCCTGGACCCGCTGCACCCACCTTTCGTGACTCCCCTGGACACACTGTGCACACAGCCTGAACCCTGTGTGTGCAGGGATGAGGCTCTTCAGGGGCTCCCAGCATGAAGCTTCCTTGACGGTTATAGCTGCAGAGCCAGGGTGTGTTTTGGAGCAGATTCTACACGACCCCCAAAGCCAAGTTAATGTCCGTTTCCAGCCCCTTTCTTTTTTCTTTTTTTTAATTAAATCTTTATTGTTCAGATTATTACAGTTGTTCTTCTTTTTTCCCCCCATAGCTCCCCTCCACCCGGTTTCCACCCCACCCTCTGCCCTTACCCCACCCCCTCAATGTCCTCATCCATAGGTGTACGATTTTTGTCCAGTATCTTCCTGCACCCCCCACTCCCCCTTCCCCCCCAACAATAGTCC